TAATTCACCCCCACCATGGACACCAGATGTTTGACCGTCTCCAGAATGACCTCCAACGCCTAGGACCGCCTCGGTGTAAACGAACATCTCGGCTTTGGAAAGATTGTTGGACCTCAAGAATTCAAGCATGGCATCTACTTCATCCTGAGTGGTTATGAGATATTCATCGTGCCACAACGACCCGCCTTCTTTGTTTGGATATCGGTACACCATACGATCAACTCTTCTCGTGCCATCCATGCAAGTAACGTTAGTACACATTTGATAGAGGTCTTCAAGCATCGGTCTGGTAGCGACCTTTATTTTCTGAAAATTGCCACAGACGTAGGTGAGGTGACCCCCTTTCCGCTCTCTTCCGTGTAACCATTCCACCGTAACCCAAGCATGAACTTTTGGAATTCCATCTGCAAAAAAACAGTAGTTCAACTAATATCATAAAAATCACAAATCACAATTCACAATAAAAAGTAATACAAAATAAACTTACGAGTTAACGTTAACCGCAAAAACACTAGAGAAGTAGGGAGCTATAACAGAAAATTGAAAAGTGAGAAGGAGAGGTGTGAAGAGGAGAGTTTCCCAGGCTGTCTTTTATAGGCAAAATCATCAATGAAAACCGCATGGGGAGGGTGCGGTTTTCATCTGGCATGCAGCCCCACGTCTGTCAATCTGCATGGCTACATGTTTGGTATCGGAAAATAATTGACACACAAACCGCATGGGGGGTGAGGTTTATGTTGGCAAAACCGCACTTTGGGGGTGCGGTTTGTTTTGGAGAAGCAAAACCGCATCCCCAAAGTGCGGTTTTGCAAGGTCAGCACAAGACCGCATCCAGGCCATGCGGTTTTCTTAGATCAGACACACAAACCGCATGGCCAAGATGCAGTGTTGGCCCAGAATGCTAAACCGCACCTTAGAGGTGCGGTTTTTAAAAAAGGGTGCTATTTTTGTAATTTCTATGGACTGGGTGCTATTTTTGTAATTTTTTTAAAGGTGCTATTTTTGGAAAAATCCCCAAGGAGAGCTATCTAAAGTGGTAGAAATCGGAAGAGAATTTGATCGAATGAGGCTGGTAAGAGATTGATGGGAAGGATGACCAAGGCGAGCATGTCAAGAAATGCGGATGTGCGGATTGTCACCAGGGCCATTTGAACATTCTCCACCTCTCGAGGAAGCTCGTAGACATCACCATTGTTTCCCCCACCCCCCTCGGCAGGTGAGCCCACGTGCGAAGATCCTTCACAAGAAAATGAGTGGCAAAGTATTCCAGAAAGACTAGATTAGTTTGACATAATTTAGCCATGGATATGAGATGCTTCTTGATACTTGGAATGTACAATATGTCTTGTAAATTTAATGAATGTGAACCAACAGGAACAGTAGAGGATCCAATATGGGATATAGCCAAACCTGTTCCATCACTAACAAGGATCTCATCCAGGCCCGTATAAACTGAATAAAGAAAGAGTTGGCCCATATCAGAGGTTACATGATCGGAGGCTACTGAATCCATAAGCCAAGGCCCATATGCTGAAGAAGAGCCCATGGTGGTAGTATGATGGACTTGCCCTTGACGGGCCTGTGGAAAGAGACGAAAAAACTTCACTTTGTGCTCTTGCTTTTCACAGAACTGACAAATGACCTGCCCCTTTCGTGGTGGACTGGGCTCAGATGCGCCAGGTGGGTCGAGCAAGGCTGCTGGGCCGCGAGATGGAAATAGGTTGTTGGGTTCCCCATCACTAAAACCCTGCGGCAGCTGATGACATCGAGGAGGACGAGAAAAGGAACCTCCTCTGCTGGTGTTTCCGCCACCACTGTGACGGGGTTGTCCGTGGGAATAAAATGCGGTTGGCACAACAATAGCTCGATGTTGAGTTTTCACGTCTACCTCGAACTCAATAAGTGATTCGAGAAGCTCTTCAATGGTGACGGCAGACCGCGGGCATGAATGGCTGAAAAAAATTGATTATACTCTGCCCCAAGACCACGAAGGAAAAACACAACAAGATCCAAATCCTTGACCGAGTCATCAATGAGGGCAAGCTCAGCAGCGATGAGCTTCAAATCATTTACATAAGAGATAACATCACGATATCCTTTGTTAGTGCCAATCAATTTCCCTTTCAAATGGATAATACGAGATTGGGAACGACCGCCATGCAACTTTTCCAAGACCAGCCATGCTTCTCGAGATGTGACAGTAGCAGAAGCATACGAATAGAGAGATTCGGAAATTGAGCATCGAAGAGCATCGAGAATTAGCTTATCTTGCGATACAAGCGATGATATGCGAGATTGGGTTGAGTAGTGTTGTTTGCCGTGAGATCCAATCCCATCAGCAACGTCTTCAATTGCGATCTCCAGGAATGGAAGTTGGTCGAGGTCAACTTCAGAGGCAATTGTGTCGCTGGATTAAAGGTAATGATCGAATCTTCTGCAGGGATTCCAAAGCCATCTGAAACTGATGAGTCGGACATAACGAAAACAGAGGTATATGGTAGAGGAGAGGGGAAAGAATGAAGATGGATCGAAGCTAGTTGATCGTGGCTAGCTCTGATACCATGTGAGAGTTTTAGAATAGAAGTTTGTTGTGGAAAATTGACTTGATTTACATTGATGAAAGCCAACATTCATATACAAAGAAGAAGAGAATTTCTAGCAACTGAAAGCTACCCACTATCTCACGTTCCACAAGAGTAGGAACTGAAAAATGAATAAATAGAAGGGTTAATACCACTACAACACCTGAACTATGACAAAAATGTCACTTGTGTTCTATTTTTTAATGTTCCATTCATGTCTTGAACGATGATACTTTGTGCCATTTGTATCCTGACGATTTTGTTGACCGTTAGAGATAACGATTGACCAAACGGTGGTCAAAGCAAAGTTGACTTTTGTTGACGTGGCAAAAATGTGGTAACCACATAGATGCCACATCATTGACACCTCATATCTTTTTAATTAAAATTAAATAATATTTATTTAGAATTCAAAAATTTGTAAATTCAATTATATTAATAAGCCAAAAAAAACTCTTGGTATGCTTCTTCTCTTCCGATTCGCCTCCTCACTTGAAAAATGTCCCAAGCTGGAATATCTCCCCTCAAGTCGATACTCTTGCGAATCCGGCACAGATGCACCCGATTTCCCTCTAGTAACTAGAGCTGGTGGTGGCGGAGTGGGTTACCGTGTCGAATCGGAGTGGTGGCAGAGTGGGAGGAGTGTGGTGGTAGCAGATTTGGTCGTCGGGACGAATTGGAGTGGCAGCGAAGTGGGAGGATGGTGAGTCGGATGCGGTGAAGAATAAGCAGAAAAGAGCCTCCGACAGTCGATCCAGCCTCCTTCTCTGTCCAGATCGCGAGATGAAAAAGAGGACTGGATTTATGGGAGGTGAAGAGTCAGATTCTGCAATTGGGGCTTTGCGATTGGGATTTAGTGGATGGGTTCTAGCGATGGGATTCACGATTCAGGGGACAGGTTCTTGTAGTAAAGTACAAGGGACTAGGTTCCTCTCCCATCATAAATCCCTAAACTCCGTCCACCATCGTCGCCATCATTATCCGCGTCGATATGCCACCGCCGCGATTTGGGAAATGGGGCTCGCTGTTGATTCTTTCCCGATTCATCCATCAAATCATCGTCACTTGTTATGTCATCGTTCGTCGTTGTTGTGATTTCCGATCTAGGGCTCGCTGGAAAAGTGAAGCTCTGATTTGGGGGAATCGAAGAAGCGAATGGTGGAGCTGCGAAAGCCAACTCTTCAGCAACAAATCGAGTTAGCGGAGGGTGGAGCGGAGGTGAGAGGGAGAAGGGGACAGAGTGGATTGGGGGAAGGAAGAGGATTGATTTTTGTTTCTATGGTTGGTTCGCAACAGGTAAGAATGGGACGTTTTGTTTCTATGGCGGGTTCGCAGTAGGAAAGAAGGGGACGACGAACGGCGGCGAACGGCAATGGGGTGAGGGGAGGAAGTGGATTTGCGCTTTTTTCCTTTCCTTTTTTGTTTTTTATTATATTAATTTTAGATGGAAAAATATTAAAAAATCCATGTCAGATGCCATGTCAATGCTGACTGTATTTTCTGTTAAATACTAACTGTCAACGCCGGTCAACATTAACGGAATAATAGTTCAGGACATAAATGGAATATTGAAAAGAATAGGACACAAGTGCCATTTTTGTCATAGTTCGGGTGTTGTAGTGGTATTAGCCCTAAATAGAATGAAATAAAAAAATACTTTTATGTATTTTCTCTAATATATATATCTAATTGGTATTTTGAATGTTTTCAGCTTCATCCATTCTGAAAAAATGAAGAGCAAACAGAAAAGGGTTACTTCATTTTTCCAAAGAAATATGTTACCAAGAAGGGATGATAGTCTAGAAGAAGGAGTACATGGTGCTTTGAACTACACACTTGAGGAGGAGTCTCCTATTATTATGGAGAATCAGAATGTGAATGAGGAGCCTCCTATCAATTTGAGAGTTGGCAATTCATCATATGATTCTCTAGAGCTAGATCATGGATTGCGTCAACCAATATGGACATATCCAGCTAATATGTGTGATGAGATAAGAAGGGATTATTGGAGTGCTGGCCTTTATCAAGTTGTACTTCCTAAGTTTCCTAAATCTGGGCCTCCTGGACATCTTCGACCCTTTCAAAGTTCATGTTACTTTGAATTCTCTTGGCTTGAATATTCAGAAGCAGAGGATGTTACATATTGTCTTCCATGTTATCTTTTTACAGAAAAGCCAAATGCTCAATTTGGAAGAGACACATTTGCAAACTAGGGCTTCTAGAGTTGGAAAAAGGTAAAGAGTGGGGCAGATTGTTCTTTTAGGAATCATATTGGAGAAAGTCCAAATTCTCATCACAACAATGTTGTGAGGAACTATCATGCTTTAATGCATCAACCAGGACACATTGACAAAGTCATGAATAAACAAACTTTTTAAGAAGTAAAGAAGAATATTACTCGAGTAAAAACCTCAATAGATGTTATCCGTTATTTGGCATTACAAGGGGTTTGTTTTAGAGGTCGGGATGAGACTCTTGATTCAAAGAATCCTTGGAACTTTATTCAGCTACTCAAATACACACGTTTTTATAGTGAAGAAGTAAATAGTGTGGTGTTGGAGAATGCTCCGAAGAATGCAAAGTACACATCTCATGAGGTTCATAAACAAATCTTGCATGTTTTAGCCAAGAAGACCAGCAAGCAAATTTTTGAAGACATTGGAGATTCTAAATTTTCAATCATTGTGGATGAAGCAAGTCATGAAAGTAGGCATGAACAAATGGTTGTAATTCTTGGCTCTGTTGATGTTAAAGGACTTATTCAAGAGCGCTTCCTCAATCTGGTTCATGCCAAAGGCACAACATCAAAGACTTTGCACTCTGCTATTTGCTCAACTCTTGCTTCCCATAAGTTTTCCCTTCAAAATCTTCGTGGACAAGGATATGAAGGTGCTAGTAACATGCGTGGTGAATGAAAGGGATTGCAGGCACTCTTTTTGAAGGATTTTCCTCAGGCGTATTATGTGCATTGTATGGCTCATCGTCTTAAACTATCTTTGGTTGCAGCATCTAGAGAAGTGGATAGGGTAAATGAGTTTTTCACAAAGTTACCAAGAGTTGTGACTGCTATTACTGGTTCCCCAAGGCGCCTTGATGAGTTAGAAAAGTTTCAAGAAGATGATTATGCACGAAAGCTAGCATCAGGTGAAATTGAGATAAGAAAAGGTGCCAATAAGATTCAGAATGTACAATGAGCTTGTGATACTCGATGGAGTTCACATTTTAGTTCTGTGGCTAGAACTATCCATTTGTATGGTACAAGTTGCCATGTTTTGGAGAACATAAGCAATGGTTGTGCTCACTACAAAACAAGGGGGGGTGCTAGTACAACTTTGCGAACTATGGAATAATTCGGGTTCATCTTCGTTTTACATACGATGAAGGAGATACTAAGCACCACAGATTTGCTTTGCAAAGCTTTGCAACATAAGCCTCAAGACATTGTAAATGCAATGAGGACAGTGGAGACTATTACAAAGTTGTTGAACCAAATGAGGAATGAAGATTGGGATCCTTTGTTGGCAAAAGTCACAATGTTTGTCAAAAACATGCTATTGATGCTCCTGATCTTAGTGCTCCACATTATGAAAGTTGACGAAGACGAGATGGTATCACAATGAGCACTTTTATCATTTTTGATGTGTTCAATGTTGCTATTGATGTTCAGATAGAAGAAATACGAGCAAGGTTCGATGACAAAGTACTTGAACTTTTGAAGCTTAGCTCGAGTTTGGATCGTCGAGATGGTTATAAAGCTTTCAACATTGGTGCTATTTGTGATCTTGCTGAGAAGTACTACCCTCTTGATATCTCAGAAAAGGACTTAAATGACTTGAATTTCGAATTGAAGCATTTTCAAGCTGATGCTCCTACTCATCCTAAACTCCAAAATCTATCATCACTTGCTGAGTTGTGTCACGGTTTAGCAGTGACAGGAAAGTCAAAGGAATTTAACCTTGTTGATAGGTTGATTCGTCTTATCTTGACTCTTCCTATTTAAACTGCTACAGGAGAACACGCATTTTCAGCAATGAAGATAGTGATGAACAGGTTGCGGAACAAGATTTCAGATGATTTTCTAGCTGATAATTTAGTTATCTTTATTGAGCGAGAGATTGCAGAACTTTCAGTTTAGACTAGGGATGGGCACGTGGGTGGTCAATCTGCGGATTGATATCGATCCAACCGCAAATAACCCGACCCGCAAGTAGTGGGTGATTGATGTGGGTGGATTGCGAATTGATAAATCTCCCACCCGCACTTATGTGGATGGGTGATGGGTGGATTGTTGGTCACTCGAATGACTCGCATCCTGTTTTCACATGAAAAATGTTGTTTCTTATAGTATTGAATATTTATCATATTTTCGAACCGCACTACAGTCTCACTATATATACTTCTAAAGGTGGAGAAAAAAGAATAGTTTTGACTACTATTATTGGATATTGTATTGTGTAATATCCATTAGATATTGGATATTAGGATGTGAATTATTGTTAATATCCATTAAATATTGGGATGAAAACTATAAATTATTAATTGTATCAAAATAAAAAAATGCACAAGTTTCTCAACACAATTGGATGATAGAGTAGTAAAGAATTTTATAAAAATACTACATAGATTCACTTGAAACAAAGTGAGAAGTGTTTAAACTGATACAGTCTTACTAATTTGCTATGAGCCTATTATAAATGTTAGTCAACTTTTCTAATCGTTTGTTGAAGAAGTATTTTTGCGGGTTAACCCACAACTCAACCGCACCCATCCGCCGCTCACCCAATCCGACCCGCAGAAGAATGTGGGTGGATTGCATGTCACAATTATTCCAACTCGCTAGTAAGCAGGTGAGTCAATTTGAGACGCAAACCCATCCAACCCACTCATTGCCCACCTCTAGTTTAGACGCTATTTTGAGTGATTTCAGTGATCTCAAAGAACGTCGTGTACTGTTAAAATATGATTAATAATTTATTTTAATTTATTTTACTATATTTTATTTTTGCCCCCCCCCCCCTATTTTCAAATGTTGGCTTCGTTCGTATCCAAGTAATACAGTCTCAATTGTTTGATAATCACACAATTCCATATTATCTACCCACTCTTGAAAGTCGTAGAGAACTAACTTGCAATAAATTCTACGTCTCTTATGTAATCAAAATTGCATCGAAATCACCACCTACTACCAAAGGGGCACATATAACCTACAAACTATGCATTAATTTCGTGATAGTCAGATTCCCTCTCATTTCCCTAGAGACGACGATGGTGATTTTGGGCCATGAATACAATTTGATGATATGTGAAATATTAATCAATCACCAATATGTAAACAGTATCCCTATTGTTGCATATGTAATCTAATTATAGAAGCGTTAGTCAATGAAATAGACAAGTAATAGAAACATATTTTTATGCACCCCATTCAAATTTTTCAGCAACGAGAGTGAAAGTAGGAAGGGTATTTTTGTCTTCACAATGATATATTTGTTTCTCATTTATTCTTAAAAAAAATACTCATACTAGGATTTGAACCGTGGTCATTTTCAACTATGATAATAGTCTTAACCAATCATACTACATAGATTAGTTGTATCATTTTAAATAAAAAAACATACATGAAGCTAAAATTAAAAAATCACAGAACTTTTCAACGGTTAGCTAAGGTTGCTAAATCTTTGCTCAGTACTTATTGGTGTTTTGATACTTCGATTTTCATATTTAATTATTTTAATTATACTTTAATACTTAATTTAAATTTCTATTTATCTTATAAATAGACGATAACTTTAAAATCATAGACCAAATATCATTGGTTCAATATTACATATCGAATGTGTAGAAGCGATGTTGAACTCCTACATTAGTATTAGTTTATAGAACTACTATGAGGCAATCATGTTCATATCTTTCTACAAACTATATGGGGACAGGTTCTTTGAACACTTTTAGCTCGGTTAACCATTAAGTTTTAAACATCTTCTTAATCCGACAGAATGATGGATCCAACAATCATTAGAAGAGGTTGAGTTTAATAGATTGGTTTATTTCATCTTTTTATGTATTAAAATGAATTTGTAGAGCAAGGACATGTTTACATATACACACTACACAATATATACTATTGGCACGATAAAATTGTCGTCTTATTTCAAATTTCCTACAACGAGACCAAAAGTATGAATGACATTTTTGTCTTCCCCATTATTTATCTTTATTTTGTATAGAAAATAGACAAAGTATTGGGATTTGAACTAATGTATCTTCAAACACAGACAAAAGTCATAATCATGATTTTCAATTTGAGTGACTCTATTGGTCGAACCAATTCTATCTAAACCTGAGTATCTCAGCGGGTGCCGAAGGTCCAGTTAGTTGTCTACTTAGGTTGGGTCAAAGTCGAGTTTATCTATCTTAGTGGGAAATCCAACCGATTTAACCAACTGATTCGAGCACCAGCCACTTCAAAATGATGTTGTTCAATTCGTATACGTAGCTACACTGTCGTATCATCCTTTTACTTATCACAGAACCCTACAACATGAAACATCACAAACCATGTTCGACTATCCCATCGTCTCTTCTTCTTACTTTGGATTTGTGAGCCTACAATACACGACCCAACCATCTCAAAAGCTATCATAATCCCGCAATAGCAAATTTCATTTTTCTCCAGCTGCACAGTCATAGAGCCAGTCGACCTCATCTCATACAAATACGAAGCAAAAATTATTAAGAAAAATGCATTTGAGTTGAAACTTTAGGTGACTAACAAAGGCCAAATTCCTTATTCAATTATTATTTAATACTTAATTAAATTCTTATATTTCTTATAAATAGAGGATAACTTTAAAATCACGACCCAAATATCATTGGTTAGAATATTCCATATCAAATTGCAGTGTTGAGTATGTAAAAGTGATGTATAATTCTTAAATTAGTATTAATTTTTAGACCTACTATTACACAATCGTATTCATATCTTTGTGTAAACTATATGGGACTGGATCTTTGAAAATTTTAGTTCGGCTAACTGTCAAATTTTAAACATTTTCCTAAACTGACATTATTGGATCCAACAATCATTAGGAGTTTAATAAGTTGGTTCATTTTACCTTTTTTCAATGTGCTCATGAATTTGTAGGGAAAAGACATGTCTTTATATACACTCCACACAATATATAATACTAAAATGAGGAAATTGTTGTCTCTTTTCAAATTTCCAACAACGAAAACGAAAGTAGGAATTATATTTTTGCTTCATAATTATTTTATAGAAACTACAAACTTCCAAAATTCAGAAATTGTTGCTCAAACTAAAATTCAGAGCATCGAAAATCAATGTTCGCAAATTTTATTTCGTATATCACTTATTTGAAAGATTTTTCTCTCTATAAACAAAGTAAAATGAAACAAGTTATAGCCAAATCAATAACTTTGGCTCGAAGACGATGACTTGCTTCTTCGTGGGGAGAAAGAAATACATGCGGTACTATCAGAGATCTGGATAGCAAAGACGAAAAGGATACACTACGAGTTCGTGA